GATTGTTTGCTAAACTAGCTTTACATCAAGTTTCATCTCTTCTTCTTCTACTTTAACACTTTGTGTTTTTTTCCTTTTTAGCATGAAGCTGAAATAGAATATGTATTAACGTAACTTTTTAATTCATCAATATTAAGGCCTTATTTCAGTTTAAATTTAAATTTGAAATCCTTATTCATACTCATTATAATTACAGCGCTTTTTAAAAAAAAATGATTCCAACCTCATCAATTAATTCTTTCAGTTCTAACTGTAAAGAATCATTTCGGCATTCCCGCTTTTCAGTATGCGATAGACATTCGTCAGTTTTCTCTCGAGATTTTGCATAACATTTAATAAGTTGTTCACATGCCTCATTCTACAATGTTTTTATATTAAATGAAAATTGAACTTTATTATTTATATTACCAAATTTTATTCTTTCGAGAAATATTTACAGCATTTAGAAACCTGTCATTCAAAATGTAATTTGAAATGAGAATTCTTAAAAAATTTGATTATTAATATAATGAAATAATTGTTTTAATTGCTAAATAAAACGAAAAAACATTAGCTACTTCTCTTAATCTCATTTATTCAAAACAACTCGAACAGTTATAAAAAAGCGTAACCTAAAACAGATTATTTAAACTTTCAATATTATAAGTTAATTTCGGTAAATTAACGTGCACTCGTATTTGATATCAACCATTGCTGTTATCAAACATATATTTTATCAAATGATCAGATGACCACGAAGAACTATCCATTTCTCAATTGTTTCGTTAACATTATCTCTCTATACCATAATATGGAAGAAGGTCACATTGTAACAAACCTCTGACCAAACAACGCTTGAACTGATCGCAATAAAAAATACCACCAACAAAATCATCTGAAAAAATTTTTACAATTAAAAGAATTTTTAATAGAAATTGTATGAATAGCGTTGTGGAAGAAAAACTGATCCTAATTTATTCATCTTTTTGCTATTTCATTCGGTCAGTTCTATAATTCTTTTCCGTTTCTTCTTTCCCTCGCATTACGAAAGCATTTAAATCAAAAAATTCTGTCAATCTTTATGAGGAGACAACAAAACTAAGATTGAAAGGAAAGAAGTGAATGTTTAAAATGAAAAAATGCAAATATCAAAGCTTGCGAGAATTCTCCTCAAAGAGTAACGATGTGCTTTCTAACGGAAAAAAAAAGCAATTTCAAATTAAAATGCAAATGAACAAAAAAGATGCGCCTTGGAAAATTATCTTCAACAATTCTGGAACAGTCTGTGATAAAATGGAAATGACAGGGATGAGATGATGGATGTCAGCTATGAAAAATGGGAAATTTTGAGATTGAGTAGAAAAACAAACAGAAATCTCAGTTACACTCACTAAATTGTTCTCATCAAATCGGACAATGAACGATAAAAAATGAGAGATTATGAAAAATGAAAACGATATTTTCTGGACAATGAAATGTGAAGCATTAATAGTATAGCATGCTGTGTTATATGAAAAAAGTATTAACAATTGGTCAATTTTGAAATAATCAAAGAAGAATTTTACTATTGTATTAACGAATTCTTTGCATATACAATGAGCATTTTGAAATTAATAAAAATTAACAGGAATGATTATCACTTATAGAATATTAATTAGATGCTAATGAAAAGAATGAAAAGAAAAAATTTCGATTATATCACCTATGTGCAACTGATTTTTTTTCTTTTTTTCTTCCCAGCTGATAATTCTTTTTTCTCAAAAAATGAAAAAAAAAATGTTTGGAATTTGATTGCAAATGGATTATCATCACATTCAATAGAAGTTTAGAAATGTTCAGAAGAATGAAAAATGGATGAACTGATATTGGAATCTAAATGGACGACAATGGCGTTTTCATTCGTCATATTGCTGTTCTCTTTCTAACTATATCATTATCATAAGAGTTTGGAAACAATTTAATATTTATATTTCCTGTGAGATAGCAATATCACATCTATGAGAGAGTGCTTTTTCAGGCTGAAATTATCTTTAAAAAAACAAATTCAGTTAATTTCTTGTGAAATTTTTTTTTTAAATCATAAATAAAGAGATATTGGTTGGTAGATGTGCTGCTGTTGTATGGTAAATTAGATCTGTATATCTCTGAACAATAGCGAAACATATTAAACGTAATTTAGCAGCAATGTTATTTCAATTAGCATTTATTTTCTATAGCTAATAATGTTCGTGATATGTAAACTCAAAAAGGATTTCATAAAAATCTTAAAATTAAAAATAAATTGCGAGTTTGAAATCAAAACTAAAACATGGTGCAAATGAATTGTTAATTTATTCATTGCTTCAAAAAGAAAAAAGATATACTAAAAATCAAAAATAAAAATCAGTTTCAGTTTCATGTAATAATAAGTTTTGTTTTTTTTCAAAGACTAATTTCGTGTTTAATTTCAATGAGTCAAAAAAACTAATCATAAAAAGAAACAAAATTGGATGCAAAGCAGTTCAGTTTGGGAGCTGGGAAACATGATATACTTTGTACTGATGCGGATTTAAATTTTTTAAAACCATTTCAAAAGGAAAAAATATGAATCACTCAACCAAAATTCATGCCAATGGTGCATATAAGCTTTTCGAAATATATTAAAATGGCTACCATCCATAACAATCTAAAACAGTACTTTTAAAAAATTAGAAGAAAATATCTAACTTATATGATAGGTGCAAAAAACTTTTGAGACATTGAGGTCAAGGTTGATTGACATTTTATAAGAAAAATTCTTTTTTGATTCTACCACTTTTCACCATTCCCAAAAAATCATCCGAACCATTTATACATACAAACTTGATCATATTATTGCCCACATACATTTCGTATGGAAACATTGAAATTTTAGAAAGTGTGTTAAGAATTGACCGATATTTATTTCAAATAAAGTGAATAGATAAGTAATTTGAAGCATTACTCAAAAATTACGAAACAAATTTTCTTTTGAACAAATTTAAATAAATTTTTTTTACAAAATTTCATTCCAGAATTGAAAATAAATGAATGTATTAGTTGCTCTAAATTAATATAAATATGATTTAATTAAAAATTCATATATTACTGATTTTATAAAAACAAAGATAGGATGTGAGAACTGATATATCCAGCAGAAACTGAACACTTTCGCTCCTCATTTGTCCCATTATGTAGTAATAAATCAATAGATTTTATTTAAAAAAAAACTCAAAAAATTAATTACTCAACTTTTCAATTGTCTACTAGCTAATAAATACTTAGCACCGAGTGAAATAAAATTGACGATATTCATCCTTTGTTAATTAGCAAAATGGAGTAGATGAAGAAAAGAATTTTTATGGGACGATGTTTAAAATATGATAATCAATTAGAAATGAGCCCATCCTTTTTCATAAAATATATAATATCCTAATTTTTCAAGAAAATATTTTACTCAACAAAAACTTTTAGATTGCTTGAGATTTTTGTCAACATATGGAACATATTATCAAAATATTATTTCATC